TAGAGGAACGAAATATTATAACAGAAGCACTATGTGAATAACTCAAAATGTCAACTTATTCAGGGAAAATTGCACAAATTTCCAAATTCACTGGTGAGGCATAGCCCGCCCCTGGAGCTGTATATGTATATAAATATGTTTTCAGGCACAAAAATGTTCACTTTTTCTTTACATGGTTTATAGTTCTCTACTTCAATACAAGGATTTTAGTTCTTGAATGTATTGGTCATGTATTTTAACTCTTACTACACAATAAAAGTAGTTAGTAAGAAAAATGGCCGGCGACTCCAGTTCTCAGTTAACAAGGCCCTCTTTTTGACCAAGATAGCCCACCACTTATGGAATTTCAGTTCAACATATCTGTGGCACGTTAGAAACCTGAAATAAAATTCAAACTAAGAATAAGTGGTCTTTCATGAAGGTGAGGTTTTACCATTTCTTAGCAATATCATAGGGCTTGCGCACTGTTACATAAAACATTAGATTTCTGTAACAGAGTGGCATCTGAACTGATTGTATCAAGTCTTGTGATTGACGAAAATTTGATGGAATAGCAGAAGAATAGCTGAGTTTCAATGACATTCATTCATCCAAAAAAATCTTTCTAGTCTTCAAGTTGCTTTAGTCTCCATGTTCACCTAGGTAAGAGGATGTTATTAATTGCTGATTGATTGTGTGTTTGATTTTTCAAGGCATTGTATGTTGAACTTTTCCTCGGCTGAAATTACATTGAGTGTGATAGCACTGATTGCTGGTCTTCCCTAGCTCCATATCTTGCAAATGTGGTTTATTGTCCTCAATATGAGGCCAGCCGTATAGTTCTCCTGGGACAGTCAAGCAACTATACTGGAATGCTTGCATTAAATGAAACACATGCTAGTCATTGCATTTCAGATGTTGAAAAGATCCTGGAAAGTTAAGGTACCAATAAGAATCATAGCATGATTGATATGCTCAACAGGTCCAAGCAATCTCTGCCTTATTGTACATGTTCATAAGGTTGATAGCATTCTGGCTTCATCAAAACTTCTAGATACATGCGATGATGTCGATACCACTACAGAGCGCTGCAACAGAATTTGCCAGAACTCCATATCAGCTGCAGTTAAAAAACTATCTTTCAGCAATTTTAGTATGAAAACATTGAGTAACAATCTTATCTTGCCTGATGAATCAGGCATTATAAAGGACTTCCAATATCGTGCTTCGATGGCTTGCCAGTAAGCTTAATCCGTGTTTTGCAAATAGAATACTCAGAGGACTTTCTAGCTGTCGCTTAAACAAAGGCAACTAGGAAAAACAATAAGAAATGCACCTTGCATCTATATGATTTGCATGATAAACTATGATAATTCACCTAAAGTAAGAGTGTCTTCATCTTATTGTCATCCAACTCTATTATTAGCCTGCCCACTGGTATTTCTGGATATTACTGAAATTCCTGAAGAATGTGGTGATCAAGTGAATAATGAAACATCTTGCTCCAATGCCACGGAGAGTTATATGTCTCGCAAGAGCAAAGCTTTATTACTAACTTGCTTGGTATGAAGATGCAGAATGCTAACATATCCAGCACCGTGTACAACCTCTGTACACGTTACCTTATTTCCAGCAGCAAAGCTGAAGGATTTCTCATCTCAAGGTCCGCATTCCTTTATATCTCTTCAAATATATGAATTTAGGTCACTTTTCCGAACATTACTTATGGGATTTTCTTCCTCCCATAAAGCTGAGAACTAATTTCCTTCACCAGTTGACTCGAAAGGTAAAAGTTTGAATTGATGGTCCGATGTTACAGATAACATTTATCTTTCTCTTTATGTTTTGATCTATAAGATATTAGACTTTTTCACAAACATACTCTGACTTTTCTGGCCATCTCAAACATACACAATAAAAGACGATACCATATCAGATGACATATACAAGTGCATGGCTCTTGCAAGACAAAAGTCCATTTCTTTTTTTTTTTATTACATTTTTTCTGCAAAAAAAAAAAAATCATTCCAAACAAGTTTGATCTGTTCATAGATAATTGCTCCCAAAGAAGTCAGACATAAGAGGCTCAAGTCATGCAGAAAAGTGATGTAACAGCATTTTTGTTCATTTATTCTAAATGTTATGCTTAACTCTAGAAGGGATTCGTATGTTATTCTGATACTTCTTAAACATGCATTTACAATTCTAACCCTAATCAAAAGGATTTAGCTAAAGAATTATCAGGGGAACTCGAGATATAATTGCTTGAAGTGGAAATCAGGAAAAAGAACATGCACAGAAAGGTTTAAATTGATAGAGAGAAATCGCATTCTTGGAGCACAATGTGACTAAAAATTTTGGCATAATACCCCAAAACAGTTTTGTTGATATTCAAGGAATAGTCATGAAAAAAAAAAAAAAAAAACTTTAGCACTGCTCCAGTTACAGTCAAGTACACGAAAAACATCAAGGTAGGAATAGAAAGCTAAACATGACGAGAAGCGGCAACTGTAATGCAGCTAAGGAAGAAGCAGGAATTGGAAGGAAATTTGGCACTGGTATACAAGGCTTCACTTAACACTTGCAACATGACCTCTCTTGCAACAGCAATTTTGTGGCTACCTAGAATAGCTGGCTTAACGTGAGAAATATTGACAAACAACACTTGATCAGTATACCCAGAAACACAAAGCAAATTCATCCATGACACTAATGCGAGTACAATCATCTAAATTACTTTGCAATTCTACGTCCTTCCAACTTATTGTGGCTTTCAGTATGAAATTTGGAATTTAAACATTTGCAAACATATATACCCTGTAGCTTGATGTCGAAAGCCTCTTTAGATACGGGGAAAAGCAAGACAACCTTCAAGAGCAGGAAATGAAAAAAGAAAAAGAACATAGAGATTAGCTCATTCATAGAATAAATTAATACAGACACTGAATTCAGAAATGAACAAGAAGAAAGAAAGAGATAGAAAATAAAATATTTAAATTTATAGAAATAAGAAAAATGAAAAAGTATTAAAAATCTGTGTGCAGTAGATCATATCAATGACTATAATAAAAGGATGAAATTAGTAGTTCGGCAGGCAGTTGGTGGAGGAAAACTTGAGTCGCTCCAGAAAAAGGGTAAAGACAGAGAACATTCAACAGTATAAAATAAATGAAAAAAGAAAAGAATTTAGAGATCAGGGCATTCACGGAACAATTGATGATGACATTAAACTCAAAAATAAATAATTTACCCTCTTGACGTTTGGTACTACTATTAATTTTCCTTTTAACGTTATTTATCAGTTACTTTACCCCTAAGACAAATGGTCAAACTTAACGGAGTTTGTTAATTAAAATAAAAAGACAAGTTTAGCCCTCAAAGTTATTATCACTTAACCCAATAAATTATAGCGTCACTATCAATTTTCCCCATAGAATTATTTTTTAGGTAATTTATCTCACAATTAAACCAACTTAGCAAGTTAAAAGACTTTAAAGAAAGTGCCCTCCTCTTTGTATAATAAAAATAATAAAAAATTTAAAATGGCTCTTTTCATCTTTAGTATGAAGAAGAAAAGTCAAAGTATGAATCTCTTTCTTCTTAGCAATCTTATTAATATTAAAACAAATAGAAAGATTGGAAGGGGGAGGGGGAAGGAGAGGGGAGAGAGAGATAGAGAGAGAGAGAGCTCAATTATTTTTTTTTTAAATGCAAATGAGAAAGAATTGAATACTTTTATTATTTTAAAACTATTCTACTTTACTGTTTACTATTAGATTTCAATCCTAATCCCAACAACCTTAAATTAATACAATAATGTTAAACTTTTCTTTATTATTTTCTTTGCAAAATCTAACTTTTTGTTTCCTTCTTTCCTATCTCTTTTTCTTTTTCTCGTATTAATAAGTGTGAAAAAAGAAATTTGAGAAAATCCTTTTATTTTTATACTGTTGGATCACTTAAAGTGAAAAAAAGAATAATCATTCCAACTTTTTTATTTTTAATTATATATATAAAAGGGTCAATATATTTAAAACTTTTTGACCATACTAATTAGATTAACGATGAAGTAAAATGCCTAGAAAATAATGTTAGGAATTAAACTGATTATATCACTATAATTTAAAGAAATAAAGTAATAATAACAATATAGTAATGCTATAAAATAAAAGGGTATTTTTGTCTAAAATTTCTTAACATATTGAGTTGAATTACTTATGGGGGTGAAATGACTAAAAGATAATATTAGGGGATAAACTGATAGTAGTGATATAGTTAAAGGGAGTAAAGTAATAATAATCCTAAAAAGAAAGAAAGAGAGAAAATAAAGTACTTAAATCCATTTTGGGGAAAAAGCTCAAAGAAAGGGAGAAAACACGTACATGAAAACCTATCAGGATTTTGATCAAACAGGTGGTCTTCTATCATCCCACCACAGTGTGGTAAAAAATGGGTCAAGGGCATTTTTGGCACTAGGATAGTCCCACTCTAACGATTCCCACCATTCTCTGTCTCCCCTGATTTTACTAAGAGTGCTGGGAAGAGATGGTAGTCCGTTGATGGTAGCAAGAAACAAAGGCAGCCTCTTTACCTTTGGACAATGAAATATTATAATCTCCTTGATTGAATCGCAGATCATGGCTGCCTTGCAAATGTTCTTCAGTTGTGGCAGCCTATAAAGATGCAGCAACTTTAATTTTGGAAGGACGATGACAGTGGCGGTGGCTCCACTTGAAGTCAATTGGAAGCCTTCTCCTCTTCCTTGTCCTGCTCGATTGCCATCTGCTGCTATCTCCTTCAATCCTTCACAATCTTCAAGTATTAACTCTTTGAGATTTTGAAGGCTCTGCAGCAACTGCACTGTGAATATTTGCTTCATGTTGTGACATCCATAAATCCTCAATTGGCTAAGGGAAGAAAATGTGCTAGGCAGAAGCACATATGGTTCTGATTCTCCGTAAAAAAGACCAACCAGATTTGGCAACCTGTGGAGGCGTAGCTCTTTGAGATCACGGAGGGAACTAAAAGACGAGACCTCCAACTGATGATGTGGAAAAGCAGAGGACAATTGCCTGAGGAACTCTATTCCAACCGAATCCTTAATATACAATCTGGATAAGTGACTTAAATTTATAAAATTCTTAAAAACATCTGACAAGCACCTAATGCCCATGCCCTCACAATCCTCGATTATCAGACTTTTCATATCATCTGGCAAATAGTTCGAGCCTTTACCAAGCTTACACTGATGAAAATACAGTACTTTCTGGCCCCCATAATACATAATAAAACTCGGATTCTTGGTTAAGATATCATTGATATAAACATGATAGTATTTTGGCCACCGAGTAATTTTATAGAAGTCCATAAAAGACAAACATCCTTCAAAACTTTCTAATTGGTTCAACACTTCTGGATCATTAACTTGTACCCTACCATTGGGTGTTAATACTAGCAGTTGAAGACAGTGAAATTGGGAAAATGTCCCTTTTGGTATTATCTTTCGTCTAAAAGCCCAACACTTGCTCAAGTTAAGCCTTTCGAGATTGACCAGTGACTCCCAACCTTGAGGTAAATCCTCAATCTTAGTTCTGGATAGGTCCAAATCCCTCAATTGCTTGAGCTTTCCTAGTGGTGGCACAGATCGGAGGCGTATACAATCCTCCAAGTTGAGCCTTTCGAGATCAACCAATGACTCCAACCCTTGAGGTAAATCCTGAATCTGAGTGGAGGATAGGTCCACTATCCTTAACTGCTTGAGCTTTCCCAGCGGTGGCACAGATCGGAGGCCTTGACAACCCCTCAAAATCAAGGCAGTGAGATGCACCAAGTTTGAAACAGAATTAGGCAACTCTGTTATACCTTGGCACCAAGATAGATTCAAAACTTTAAGTCCACACATGTGATGAAAGAATGAATCTGGGATTTCTCTTATGAAAACCTGAGAAAGAAGCAAGGTTGAGAGCTTAGGACAATTTGGTGGCCAGGCTGGTGGAACTTTTATTTCTGTTTGTCCATATGAAAATGAATGAAAGGAGGCTGCATGGAGATCTTCTGTCCATTTTTTTGGTTCCAGTGTTACTTTAGAATTTCCCTTTCCTATGCTTTTCACCAAGAACCGTGGTACATCCCCGTTCATCTGTAGGTTGGATTTTCCGTCTGTGATTCTTAATGCCATATCTCTGACCAAATCATGCATCTTCACACAGTCATCCCCTTCATAATCTCTAGTTTCTTCTAGCAAGCATACTTTAATCAGTTTGTTTAATATCGCGTGACCTTGATCAAATTCTTGTGACCATGAGTTCCGTTCTTGCATCAGCTCTGCCCAAATGAAGAGGTCTATTAGTGCCTTTATTTTTAATTTACTATCTTCCGGATAAAGAGAGCAATACAAGAAGCAATGACTTTCATATTCATTCAGGCGTTTGAAACTCCATTCCAAGATGGGAAACACCTTTTCTTCCATCGCATCATACCCTACCGAACATGCTTTCAATTGTTCCAATGCATTTCTCCACTCACAGATGTCTGTCACACCTTTCATGCTCCCGGCCACTGTGATAATACCAAGCGGCAAGCCAGCACACCTTTTCACGATGGACTTAGCAATATCTTCCGCATTTCCATGAAGCACTGTCTTAGTATCAAGTGTATGTTGGAACAAATCCCAAGCTTCATCTATAGCCAAAGTTTTAGCTTCAAACACCCTTTGACAGCTAATCCTGTTGCATAATTCTAGTGACCGAGTGGTCAAGATCACTTTGCATTTGTTTGCGCCAAGAGGAATTCCAATCTTTTCAAAAGAAAATTCTTGCCAAACATCATCGAGTATGAGGACAGATTGCTTCACCAATGCCCTGGACAAAATGGCTGCCCTGCTATCCTCATCATCCTCGTATGAGAGATCAAGCCTTAGGCGTTTAGCAATGTCATCTTGCAGCCTTTTGATGCTGAATTCTTGAGAGACGGTAATCCAATAAACCTTGAATTGAGTTCTCTCAAGGAGGTGATTATGGATGTGTTTCGCCAACGTAGTCTTACCCACACCACCCATCCCATAAATCCCAATGTTTGAGATGCTATCGATGACCAACCACGCCCAGATTTCTTTCAAACCTCTGTCAAATATTTCTCCAAATAATTTCGTTGTCACTCGTGGCTCACCTCTGCTCTCAGAAGCCTCAAGCAAAAGCCCATCAAAATGCTTACTTTGCTCAATAAGTTCTTCTACAATTGCATCCATTTTCGCCACTCTATCCCCACTGCTAATTGCATTTTCTAGGAATCCACCCTCTTGTATGCTCTTTTTCAATGCTCCAAATTCATTTTCTACTGTTGCTACCTCCTCAAACCAAATCTCAACCTCCCTTTTCCTTTTCTTGGTACCTGACCTTTCTGCATTTGTCACCTGCAACTCGAAGTCAGATTTTCTGCCGCCTAATCTTTGCAACTTCCTTTCGAGCGACCTTAGATTATCATCCAAATTGACATACCTCCTTCCCCTATCTAATGCCAAATTCCCAAGTGCCTCCATTGCCAATTTCGAGTGAAATCCCTTACCTATGAAGTGACAAGAGAATATCTAAAAAGTATAGTTATCAACCAATAACGTTGTTCAACAAAGGCAGCATAAGAATCGTGATGTTCCTCAGGCAAATTTTAAAACAGGTCATTTCCAAACTTAATTTGAATTGAACCCGATTAGTAAACTAAACAAGTAGCCGTTTAATGTTAGATTCTACATAATGTTAGATTTTTTTTTGTCATATTCAACTATTTATCAAATACAAGTTCTATCATGTCATGGCTTTCTTGCGCTGAATGAAATGTTCATGAAGTATACATGATGTTACTAAGCAGAAATATTCCTGCAAACAGTACATTTTTTGGATACAAGTATCTCTTCTCACTAAAACGATTTTTCTTTTTCTTATTTGACGCAAATGATATCTTTTTTTTATTTTGATAAATAAATGTATGTCGAATTACTCACCACTCATTGCGTCTCATTCGACAAACAGCAACAGTCCAAACGACAAAATAGTCCAATTAAAGACATCATTGAATTCAAGAATATATCAAACTTCATCTGCACGTTGCTTAATAAAGTTCAAAACACAATAGGTAAGTAGGAAAAGAAAAATCTTCTTCGTTCAATCCAATGTTTATGCAACTGTAAGCAAAAGTAAAATAGTTACTACAAGGTCTGGAGAAATATCAAGCCTCTTGCCACTGTCTCACCAGTATGTCAAACAAATTCTAGCTAATTTGACAAATCAACTTTTCTTATTAATATATCTCCATTTCATTTTGCCCTCAAAAAAGTTTTTAAACTCAATATTTTGCTCTTTTTAGGGATCTGTATATATGAATTAATAGAATATAACACCATGGTAAGCTGTGGAACTTATCAAGCTATTCCAAACATTAATCTTCTTGGAAGAATTGATAACAAACAATTTTGCAACTATGATATTTGGCCTTCATTTTTAGAATCCAAAAAAATATACAATTTAAGCATTATTATTAGCAAAACATGGGACATCACAAATTTAGCGCCAATCTAGGCATAATTATGTGTTTTGACAAAAAATAACTTAGACCCTTTTTTTACATTCTAAACACAAAAAAGAAAACTTATAGCATCACAATTAACAAAACTGAGACTACATATTTGGCGCCAATTTAGGTGCTTGAAGGTCTACTTTTTTTGATTGTTATATATGTAACATAAAGATGAAATTTAGATATCTCCTTAAGTTGTCGTGAGCTATCATCTAGAGCTCACAAGAGCTTGGAAAGAGTGAAAAAGTTTGAAATTGTTCTTCTCTGATTCAATGGCATTGTGCATTGCAATTATGGTAAAAAATGTGAATTTTTTTTCTTTTGTAAATATGCCCGTACACACCTTGAAGTAAAATAATTTTGCGGGTTAAAAGCCTTTCCGCCCAGAATACATTTCTACCCAAATATTAGGGAAAAAATTATTGTTCTGGAGCTTGGTAGACAAGTTTTGAATGTAGACAAGTATTGTTCAAAAATGACTCTTTGGCCTTTAAACTCGCTTCAGCTACCTTTCTTGAGTAGGGGGAATCGATTTATTCGTGAATAATAGAGGTGACAAAATGGGCGGGATGAGCGGGATTTACTTGGATTTGAGATGCAATCGGAGTCATATAACCTTACCCATATGTATTTTGGGACTAACTTGGGCAGGATCACTTTGTGATAGGTTTAGATTGATCCCGCCCAATACCCAAATATATTTTCTACATATTTTTCCCTTTAATTCATTTTTTATTTTTTATATAATTTTAATATTTTTTATTTATTAAATTTCTTTTAGTTTTATTAAATAAACATGCAAGTGCTTTATACTCAAGATTCCCACCAAAAATTGGATTAACAAATAAATGAAAAGATAGATATACAGCCATATTCCAACATATATCAAGATGGTCAAGGTACTTAGAGTGTTGAATATTTATCCTCATCATTGTCCAAGGATGACAGGTCTAAACTGACTGAAATGCTGGAAATTCTTGTGGATAATGACTAGGAAGACTATTAGATTATATTCGCTGGTATGACTATAAAAATTGTTAAAGATAATTTTTGAATCTAAGACTCTGTTTGGATTGGCTATTTTTTCAAAAAATAAGTTTTTCAAATACAATGTTACGGTAATATACAATAACTCAAAAAACATCCCATCCATATTAGGATATCAAATATTTCAAAAAATTTTATAGTAAAAATTTTTCATATACACTGCTACAATAAAATATTTCAACAACACCCCCCAAAAACAGCTAATCCAATCGCAGCCCTTGCTATTTGAGTCCAATGGGTACCCAAGTATTTTCCAAAATTTCCCATCAATTAATGGGTACAATTGGGATTTGTCCCATTTTAAACCCAATATCAAATTCAAGTACCCATCTCGCCCAAAGTCCCCATGGGCATGGGTAACCCATTGGGACTTGGGACAAATTGCCACCTCTACTGAATAAGTATTTTTCGGGATTTAGATGTCAAAACGGAATATACTAAATACAAATTTGATTTAATTGCCCTAAATTAGTTGGTAGGATATAATATGTGTTATTGCTTTTATTTTATTTATCTATAATAGTGTTTGTCTATTTACATGAAATTTTGTTATTTTTACTTTAAAAATAAATGAGAATTGATATAAAAAATTCTTCAATTGTAATACTCGATTCATTCTAATATTAGATTTTTAAGTTTGCATTCACTAGCAATATAATTATCAACATAAAATAAAAATTACATGAAGTTAAGCAATTATAATTTATTTTTAATCTATTTTCAATTTTGATGTGAGATTGGAAAAAAAATTCTTGCACAATTGTTTGAAAGTCAAGGAAGAATGTATCTTAAAACATTAGTTTTCTAGTATAAAAGAAAAAAACTTATTCTAAATACAAGTAAAATTAATTATTATAAAAAATTACATTCAAATATTAATTGAGTTCATAAGATATCATAATGCATTCTAGGATAAAGATTTATAAGGATACATTTGATATCTTACTATTTAAGCATTCTAGGATGATAGTGGAGAAGCTTTACCAAAACTTTTTTTTTTTTTTGAGGAATGAGATTCCAAAAAAACAGAGTTGAAATTAGCATTCTGGGGGAAAGAACTTTTCCACTTAAATGAACCGTATCAAATATTGGAATGGAGTGAATAAATTGGAAAGGTCTTTCCTTTCTAACCGATCTCTATGTACCGAATAGGCAAATAAGGGGATAGTGTGCTCAAATGCATAAACTTTTTTTTTTTTTTTGTACTTATCCAATGCCCCTAGAGCACATAATAATAAAGGTCATAATAAAAAGCCATTGCACATTGGTATAGTAAGGGGAAGTATGGTGCTTTCTTTGGTCAAAAAATCTTGGGCTCCCCCGCCCCCCCCCCCCCCAAGTCCCCACGCAGCATTGGAATAGAGTTGATTGTTATGTTAGACAAAATGATAATAATAATGTTAATAAAATTAATATGCAAATCTTTTTAAATGGATGCTCTCATTAATACACTAAGATTACACTTAGCTTACAATGTGAATATATACATTATTTTTTTTTTAATGTAAGTGAAAGGGATCGAACCCGAAACCTTTTACTTACATTCTCCCCCTACCCCACGGACCACCCAACTCTAAATACAGAGATTCACATTTATTTTGCTTCTTGTATTTATACACTTTTCTAAATTAACCAATTTTGGGGAAAAAAAAAAAAAAAACACTCTTAACGAGTCCTCTTAGAGCATGCATTGACCAAACCCATAAAATATAGCACCACAGTAGGTGTGGAACTTATCAAGCTATTTTAAACATTATCTTTTCTACAAATTGATAAAAAGGGTTTTCTTAAATCTTAAAAGAAAGAAATTGAACTTTTAAAGTATTGAAATGATCATAGAAAAAAACAAACAGTGAATGGAATTTCATAAATTTATTTTTGCAAATTAATCACTTTTGTAGAAAATAAACTCTCTCGATGAATCCCCATTGGGCATGCGTTAACCAAACCCATAAAATATAGCACCCTAGTAAACTGTGGAACTTATGAAGCTATTTTAAACATTATCTTTTCTATAAATTGATAAAAAAAAAAACGTTTTTCTTAAGACTTAAAAGAAAGAACCCAGTTTAAAGTATTGAAATGATCACAGAGACAAACCCACAGTGAATGGAATTTCAGAAAATTTACTTGCCACTTTAATATATTACCACAGTGAATGGAATTTCAGAAATTTTACCTATACTTTAACATATCATCTGCCATCCCCAAAGACCCAGTTCAACTGGTAGACACATTAATCAAGTAATCATGAGATCTCATGCTCAAGTTCTCTCCCTTCATTCTTGTAAAGATAAGAGTCCCATTTGTAGCAAACAAAATCATCACACCAATTTTTTGTAGAGAAAAAAAAATGGCCCTCTCTGTGTACGAAAACCTATTGCATTAGTCAGTTAGACAGAATGAATATATGTATTTGGCTGGCTGTCTATTCTGAATATATGCCCCGTCTTTCCTTGATATAGGATAGCTGAAATTATTTTAAAATTTGTGGCTAATTGAACAATTGTGGAATTCTAGAATTAAAGGAACTTTTGTTTTATCAAAAAAAAAAAATAAAGAATTAAAGGAACTTTGTTTCTGGATTAATCTTAGAGGAAGTCAATTCTTAGTATAAAGTCTTTAATTGGACAAGAGACGGAAACAAAACATCTTGAGCTTGTTGGACACGATAATAAAGAAGCATAATTGTTTTTTCGTTTTTTGAGCTGATGCGGCAGCAGAAGTGGATTCAACAAAAATTTACATGAACTAATCTCATGGAAAAGAAACCAAGAGCAATACATGATCAAATTCCCAAAGTTAAGATTCAACAAGAATTCAAACTTAGGACCCAACTCGAGAATAAGATATAAAACCCAAACAACACAAAATTTCTTATTTCATATAATTGTCAAATGAGTTAATTGATTAAAATAGTCC